ATTTTTAAGGTTTCTTTTCCTGAGGTTTTTTCTTGTTCTTCCAGTTGGAACATATCCCTCTGTCTTCAATTTGCTTGACCCTCTATGATTGTTACTATGTAACAGCTATTTCTCCCAGTCTTGAAAGAGTGGCCTTGTGTAGGAGATTAAATTTATCATTTAGCTTTTCTCTACCTTTTGGTTGTTTCTCAGACCTTTGTAATTGTTTAAATAGCCTGAGTTGTTCTCCATAGATTCCATTTGTTGAGGGTATGCAACACCTGTTAGTGTTCAAGAGAGAGATATCTCAAACAGTTTAGTTTCAGGCTAATTATAAGCCAGATCCTCAGGCAACAGTTTTTAAGGTAGGTAAATATATACAGTCTTGGGAGTCTACAGTATAAATCCTGCTGACATCCAGACAAGAAGCTCTGGAGGTGTCCCCTGGGCAATAGTTGCAAAAATTGTGGCTTTAGACTTTAAGCTCCTTTCTGAGTGGTATTAGCCAGCTGTGGGGAGGACAAGGGAGGGCACTAATATGGTGTCTCCCTGTCCATATTCCCTGGGGGGTGCCTCTGTAGCCTCTGGATGTATGGCAAACCTAAAGCCTGTCTCTCAGGCTGAAGCTTCAGGACAAGGAAATAAAACTTCTTCACATGAAAAGTAGGGGTTTGTTTCAGTCTGCTGTTTGTGCAGTGCCTTGTGGGCAGTAGCCCGCCAAAGACTATCTCCCCAATTGATTTGGACTCATGGGACCCATAAATACATTCCCCCTGGCCACCAAAGCCAGGTACTCAAGAGGTATCCTTTGTATGGGCTGCATGTGCTTGTTGGCTACAGCTTGGTGGGCCACGACTATAGCACATGGGGGTGGGGCACTTGGCCAGCCCAGCTGCAGTGGGATAGCCTGCACTTGCAGTACATGGGGTGAGGGTGGCAGTCCTAGTGGAGCTAGCAGGCTAGGGATAGGGTGTGAAAAAGTCACCTGCTAGTGCCAATACCAACAGAGCAGAAGAACTAAAAAATGACACCCACAGGTGCCTCCATCTTTGAAGAGCATCCAAACAGGTTTCTGTTTCTCTAGCAGATGCTTTAAGATTAATAAATGAGTTTCTTTTATTTATTTATTTATTTATTTATTTATTTATTTATTTATTTTTTAATAAATGAGTTTCCAAGTGACTTTCAAATGATTGCTTTTGTGTTGGGTCCTAGGGCAAGTGGATCTGTGTACAAGCCCTTTTAAGCATGAATTTTCTATTTCCTAGTCCTATGGTTCTCCTTGAAGTAAACCCTGTTGGTTTTCAAGACCAGACACTTCTGGTGCAGTTCCCAAGGACTGGGAGGCCTGAAAGGAGGGACAAACTCCTCACTCCTCAGGGACGAGCTCCAGATTATGAGACACCCTCCCAAATGTGGGTTACTGTTCCTGAATGTGAGAGTTTCTTGCTAGACTATGTCTCCACCTCTCCTACTTATATCAATGTGGCTTTTTATCCTTTGTTGTGGAGGCTCTGCTCAGGTATCTTTCAGGGCCTTTTCAGAGGAAATTGTTCCTTGTGTAACTGTAGAGTTGCTGTGTTCATGGGAGAAGATGAGTTTAAGATCTTTCTATACCACATCTTGAACCCTCCTATGGCCAATGGATCTTTGAGAAAGATGCAAAAGCAATTCAATGGAAGAAGGGCAGACTTTTATTTTTTAAAAAGATTTTGTTTATTTATTTCAGGAAAGAGAACATGCACACAAGCAGGGGGAGGGGCAGAGGGAGGGGCAGAGGAGAAGAAGAAGCAGACTCCCCACTGAGCAGGGAGCCAAGACCTTGAGATCATGACCTGAGCTGAAGGTAGTCACTTAACCAACTTCAGGCACGGCTGAAGGGTAGTCTTTTAAACAAATGTTGGAACAACCAGATATCCATATGTAGTATATGAACCTTGGTCAAAACCTCACATCTTATTAAAATAATTAACTCAAAATGAATCACAGACATAAATGTAAAACACAAACTGTAAAACTTTTAGTAAAAAACTTAGAAGAAAACCTTTGTGACCTGAAGTGAGGTAAAAGGTTCTTAGATTTTTACATTAAAAGCACAATAAATAGGGCAGCCCAGGTGGCTCAGCGGTTTAGCGCCGCCTTCAGCCCAGGGCCTAATCCTGGAGACCCGGGATTGAGTCCCACATTTGGCTCCCTGCATGGAGCCTGCTTCTCCCTCTGCCTGTGTCTCTGCCTCTGTGTGTGTGTATCTCTCATGAATAAATAAATAAAATCTTTAATTAAAAAAAGCACAATATATAAAGGGAAAAAATAATAAATTTGACTTCATCAAAATTAGAAGCTTTTGCTCTAAGAAAGACCATGTTAAGAGACTGAAAAGATAGATACAGACTGGGAGAGAAAATGTTTGCAAATCACATATCCAACAAAGAACTTGTATCCAGAATGTATAAAGAACTCCTAAAACTCACCAGTAAGAAAACTCAAACGACCCAATTGAAAAATGAACCAAAGTGAAATAGATACCTCCCCAAAGAGGATACAGAAGGCAGATAAGCACATAGAAAGCTGTTAAGCATCATTAGATATTTGGGAAATTAAAATTAAAATTTGAGATGCCACACTACACATCTATTAGAATGGCTTGGCCATCTTCAATATAAACTAAATTAAGAGCCTGCCTTATGTGAACCTCTTCCTTGATAATCCACACTAAGATTTCTCACTTGAACACAGACAAATTTTTGGAAGCATCTCCTCGTGTCAAGGCCGTATTATCTAAGGGAGGGTCACATATACATATGCACAAAAGGCTGTTCTTTATCATTCTTGCCTCAGATAACGTTGCTTTCTGTCATAGAATTCCTTGTTCCATGAGATTTAGCTCTTCCACCTTTGGCCTCTGTTTCCCTTATCTCTTTGTTTTTTTAAAAAAAGATTTATTTACTTATTTATTCAGAGAGAGCAAGAGAGAGGCAGAGACACAGGCAGAGGGAGAAGCAGGCTCCACGCAGGGAGCCAGACGTGGGACTCAATCCCAGATCTCCAGGATCACACCCCGGGCTGCAGGCGGCGCTAAACCGCTGCGCCACAGGGGCTGTCCTCCCTTATCTCTTTAAATCACCCTTCTGTCACTGTGAGTGACACCAGTGACACTCAAACAGGCTGCATCTGGCAGGCTGGTCCTCAAAGGACATTTATGGTCTCCTGAGGTGTCACACCTGCAGTTCAAATAGATTCCACAAGGGGGATGGTGTTTATGGAAGTATAGCTCTTGGCTAGACTACCCTTAGAACTTGTGTATAACTGAAAGAGACCAGATATTAGGTACATAATCCATCTATGATTTTTAAATAGCATCTATTTAAAAATAACACAAATGCTGCCTAAACACTAATCATTTACGTTAACTCATTATTGAAAAGAGAAAACATTTATTTTTCAGTCAATCTGTAGATGTTTGCTAAATACCTACTGTGTGCAAGGCACTGTTCTAAATACTGGGGATACAAACTAAATTTATTTGGAGCAAGATATAAAATAAATTATACATTTAGACTACCTTTAATTAATAATGATTCTTGCTGAGTTTTGTTCTGAAGCTTACCTGGCAAATTTACTCTCATTTATGAGGGTCAGAGGTAGCAGGACGTTTATCAGTGGAAAGCTCCCTGTGAAATTCCTCCCACCACTATTTCCTATTTAATTAGCATGATTATAACAACCATCTCAGCTAGTTCTTGCAGAGAGAATTCAGCCGATCACTAAGGTTTCTTCTACTCCATAACATGATTTTTTAAAGAAAGGCCCATTCCATCTTTTTCCTGTTTTTTTTTTTTCATCTATGTCCAAAATGCAAGAAACAAACCTGCTGCTAAGTAACTCTTGAGTTTCTTCCCCTTCTTTGGAAATTTCATCTACCTAATGTGGTTACCTGGCCAAATAAGTCATTCCTTTAGCTGGGTCTTTTTTCATTCACAATATGTGTACTTAGCCCCTCTTTCCCATTAGTGCAGATTATTTTATTTTTTAAGATTTTATTTATTTATTTATGAGAGACACAGAAAGAAAGGCAAAGACATAGACAGAGGGAGAAGTAGGCTTCCTGCGGGAGCCCAATGTGGAACTCGATCAAAGGACCCCAGGATCAGGACCTGAGCCAAAGGCAGATGCTTAACCACTGAGCCACCCAGGTATCCCATGAATGTAGATTTTAAAATGGGATTTAATTCCCACTGCTGTGAGATGTATCATGTTTACATTTCAAAGTCTACTGTGACCCTTTGCTAACCGAAATAATATTCCCTTTTCTAGATTTTTGAGACATTCTGAATGTGACAAAACTGAACATAGGAAAGTGCTTTCTAAATATGTGTTTTCTTCTCAGCATCAGCCTGTATACGACAGGCAGCCCTCTTCACTAGTATGTACTGAAAGCAGTTCCACAAAGAAAGGAGGGTCAAGGGACACCTGGGTGGCTCAGTGGTTGAGCATCTGCCTTTGGCTCAGGTCATGATCCCGGGGTCCTAGGATCAATTCCCTCATCGGGCTCCCCGCAGGGAGCCTGCTTCTCCCTCTGCCTGTATCTCTGCCTCTCTCTGTGTGTCTCTTATGAATGAATGAATAAATAAATAAATAAAATCTCCAAAAAAGAAAGAAAAGAGGGTCAAGCTTTTAGAAAGGAATTCCTGAAGTCTCAGAAATGGGATGTCAGCCACTGGTTCAAGGTGCTGTTCTTGCCAAGCAGTGCTGCCATTTGACCCCAGCTGAGGGCCTGCTCTGATAATATCATGGTTATGTTGTTTCCTCAGTTAAGATCTCAGCCATCAAAAAGGGACCCAGGTCCAGGGACTCAGAGTACAGCCTGAACTACAGCAGAGCTGAAAGAGGTTGTGACGGGAAAGGGAGAGAAGGGTCTCGTATCAGCCTTGACCTGCTCCTTCTGTATAGAGTGGAGATGGCAGTTAGAGTTATATTAAACTTGAAAGAAATCAAAGGAAACTGATTTTGTTTCCCCTCAGGAGTGATTCCTGTTTTGCTTATACCCTACTTTCTGGTGTTCACTAAATTATGGATCTTGTCTGTGCTCACCTTAGGCTGGCTCGCCTATGATTGGAATACCCACAGTCAAGGTATGAGACAAGGGAAGTGTGATGGTCCCTGTCTGTGCAAAGGATGGAACCAAAGGGAGAGGGAAATGGAGGGAGAGAGTGGGAGAAGAAGAGGGAGAAAGGATAGGAAGGGGAAAGAAGGGGAAAGGGAAAGGAAAAGAGTTAGGAAGGTGGAGGGCTGGAAAGATGGAAAGAAGCAAATAGGTGTACAGGGAAGGAGACAGAGAGAGGAGAGCAAAGCTCAGCAAGGAAAAGAGATCTCATCTCTCCCAGGCTTCTGAGGAAGGATTAAGAGGTTTCAGGGCAGGTGCCCTCAGTTTTGGGACATTTACCCATCACTTTCCTGGCTGGCTCCAGGGAAGCAGGGGTCTCCTATATCTTCTTGGGGGTTGAACTCAGGGACAGTGCCTACAGCACTACGTTCTAGAGATATGGAAATGTGAAAAGGGGACTTCTTCTGTGACCTGAGGACTATAGGAAGAACCTTCTACCTCTGAGAGATGTTTGAGGGATTGTAGCTCATCTGCTCTTTCCTTCCCTTCTGTACCCACAGGTGGTAGGCGTTCAGCTTGGGTACGTAATTGGACCCTCTGGAAGTATTTTCAAAATTATTTCCCAATAAAGGTAACCACTCTTCCTTTTGGTGCTCTTGGTTCCTGTTGCCCAGACTTTCCCTCCCCACTCAGCGCCATGTTTTCAAAGGCTTTAGTGGCCAGCAGTGAAAGTCAAGTCCCAGAAGCATAATGCAGAGTAGGCATATAAGATAGATGGGCAGGTGGGGAGATGAATGGATAGCAGCCTTTCTTCACAGTGGCAAACTCTCTGAGCATCATAACCCCTGGCAATCCTCTGACAGTGATGACATCCCAATGAACAGAGATTTGGGGCTCCCCAAGGGAAACACAGGGTATCTGCTGGTATCTGGGTCCACATGTCCTCTCTTCCTTCTTCCTATCCACCACTCTGACTCAATCTCTCTCTAACAGCTGGTGAAGACTCATGACCTCCCTCCCAAACACAACTATATTATTGCCAATCACCCCCATGGGATTGTTTCTTATGGTGTGTTCATCAACTTTGCTACTGAGGCCACTGGCTTTGCTCGGATTTTTCCAGCCATCACTCCGTCCATAGGGACCTTGGAATGGATTTTCTGGATCCCCATTGTGCGAGACTACGTGATGTCAATGGGTGAGTATAAGAAATCATCCCATTCTCTGGCCTACCTCAGACCTCCAACCCCTGTAAGCACTGACAGTCCACATCTCATATCTTGATGGAAGAAGACTTAGTAAAAAATGAGTTCAGAACACACAAAGCCAGTAACAAGAGTATGTGGCCATGCATCAGGTTCTGTCTAAGATCTGGGAGGCAGGGTTTAGTTGGACAGTAGGGTAAGTTACAGGCGTTTAAAAGAATTGCCAAGAATCCTTTCAGAGGAGGAAGCAGAAGTCGAGTTCAGGATCAAAGCCAAAGTGTAAAACAGAAGGTTGGTGGTGGCTAGTGGCTAGTCCTGATCACTCCTGAGGGAGAGAACTCTGGACAGTTTCTAAAGCTGTAAGACTGGGGAGAGTGGATAGTATTGATCTAAGAGGCAGCAGGTAGAGGAATTCAATGTAATATCACAGATTCCCCACAAGACAAACAGCTGACCCTAAGGACCAACCTCAGGCTAGGGCTAACCCAGGATGCGGAGGTCAAAGACAGAAGAGTGGAAACAATAGTCAGGGGACAGAACTGTCTCCAGCATGAAGAGCCCAGAAGAACCCCTTTCCCAAATCTCAGGCACCAAGTTTGTTATGTCACTTGACTCTTTGGTTTCACAGGTGTGTGCCCAGTGAGTGGCTTGGCCTTGAAGTATTTGCTGACCCAGAAAGACTCAGGCAATGCTGTGGTTATTGTGGTGGGTGGAGCTGCTGAAGCCCTCTTGTGTCGACCGGGAGTCTCTACCATCTACCTTAAAGAACGTAAAGGTTTTGTGAAGTTGGCACTGAAGACAGGGTGGGTCCCCAGGTTCTGGTGCCCTATTGTCAGAGTGCCATAGGTACTCTGTAGCACCTCTCCAGAATGGCTCCCTCCTTTGGAAACCTGTTAGAGGGGGCTCTCTCTTTACTCTGATTGCTTCCCTCTGCTCCTTTGCACCGTCTTAATGGTGTTTGAGCCTCCAGATAACATTTGTAGGCATTTTTTTTACTTGAAGTTGGAGAAAGAACAATGGGAAAAGACTTTTATCTTCTGCCCATTAGTCTAGTAGGCTAGGGGTCAGGGGAAGTGGAGCTTTGCTTTCAACTCACTAACTGAGAGGTCCAGAGAACCTACCCAGGACAAGGAAGGCATTGGGCTGGGGGCTGGGGGAATTACAAAAATAAATAAGACATGGTTATTGCCCCCAAACAGCATATAATCTGGTTTGATAAATAGAATGCATTTGTTCAGCAGTTAGTGAACAACTACTGTGTGTCAGGCATAGTACTAGGCATTGGGGATATAAAAATAAATGAAACCTGATCCTTGCCTTTAAGAAACTGACAGTCCCATGGGAACAATAGATATGCACACATATAATTACAAAATATATCCAGAAGCCAACGACTTACATCTCAACTGTAACCCCCCTGGTTTAAATTAGCATCATCTCTCCCCTCATTATTACAGTCTCCTAACGCTCTGCCTGCTTCTTTCCCTGCCTTCCCCACATCCAAGAGTCTACTCTCAACTGTAGCCAGGATGACTTCATTAAATGTGAGATTGTGTCACTACTCCAAATGCTCCAATGGCTCCAATTTCACTCTGAGCAAAATCCAAAGTCTTTACAAGGGCCTGCAAAACCCTGAATAATCTAGTCCTAGTGCTATGGGAACAACAACTGATGGGAAAACTTTCACTCCAAGTAGAAGTTTCATGAGTGAGTGACATTTGAATTGTGAGCTAAAATATTAGTAGGAGTTGCCAGCCAGACCAAAAGGGAGAAAGGACTCAGGAAACCTACAACGTATCAGGCACTATGTGAGGCCCTAAAGATCCAAAGATGAATGACAGATTTCCCACCTTTGATCAGCTTGACAGACAACTAGGAAGTCAGATAGGTAAGAGGATGACTGTAATAACTGAATTAGAATAGTGTTAGTGCGGAGAAAGATGAGCACTAGATAAAGAGTACCTAATTCACATTGTGGGGGAGGGAATTGGAGGTAGTCAAAAAAGTTTTCTTCAAGAGATTGAAACTGGAGCTAAGCATTGAAGGGCAAAATAGAATTAGCCATGTGAAGACAGAAGGAAGGCATTTCTGGCAGAGGGAGCAGAATGTACAAAGAAGCATAGACAAGAAACAACTTGGCACGCTTAGTATGGCTAAGCAGATTGCAAGAAAGGGGTGGGGAGAGGAGAAGCTAGCACAAAAGCTAGAGCACAAAAGCCATGGCAAGCAGCATGATATAAAGTGAGGATCTCTGGAAGAGTTTTAAAGAGAGGAATGACAGGTCCAGATATGCAGTTAAGGAAGATCACTCTGGATACTGGGTGTAATAACGACAGTTAGATTGCTTAAGATTAGTTTCTTTCTATCATAAGACAAGGTGCAGCAGCTCCCCCCCCAAAGGGTTCAGTTAAAAGGGTGGGGCATGGCAAGAATGAAACAAAAGCTGAAGATGTTTGGGTACTTGGGTTCTTGTCCTATAATAGGGAGATTGGAAAGGTTTCACACCTTGGAGAGGATTTTGCTGGGGGGGAGCTCCCTGGAAGAGTTAATACTTCTCCTTTCTTTGCAGAGCATACCTTGTCCCTTCTTATTCCTTTGGAGAGAATGAGGTTCACAATCAAGAGACCTTCCCTGAGGGCACATGGATAAGGTTCTTCCAAAAAACCTTCCAGGCCACATTCAAAAAAATCCTGGGATTAAATTTCTGTACCTTCCATGGTCGGGGCCTCACTCGAGACTCCTGGGGCTTCCTTCCTTTCAATCGGCCCATTACCACTGTTGGTGAGCTTTCCAATACCTTTGGACCACCCTCGTTGTTGATTCACCCCACCCAGGTCATCCATCAGTCCAGGAGGCCTAGCAAACAGCTGGGATGGGCAATGGGAATTCCAGTAGGATTGGCTGAGGGCAGGGTGGGCAGGACAACTAAACAGTAAGAGTTGTGGCCATTTAATAGCTCCCACGAGACCATTTTTATTCACAAACATTCCTTCATCTCTCTTCTGAGCCTTCTTCTCATTCTCATCAGCATGCATGAGATAAGGTATTTGGAGAATGTGGGATGGAAAGGAGCTAGAGCAGCAGGAAAAAACAAAGGAAAGGGAGGGGACACAGATACTGAGTTTGATTGATTATGTGGCTCCCTCTGAAGGATGGGTAATTTGAGTTGGGGAGGGGAGGTTCTGATGCTTATCTCTTCTCCTTTCCCATAGTTGGGGAGCCCCTGCCAATCCCCAAGATTAAGAGGCCAAACAAGAAGACAGTGGACAAGTACCATGCACTCTACATCAGTGCCCTGCGCAAGCTGTTTGACCAGCACAAAGTTCAATATGGCCTTCCTGAGACCCAGGAGCTGACAATCATATAACAGGAGCTATATATCCCCCACTTTAGAAATCAGAGTCTTGGGATGCCTGGGTGGCTCAGCGGTTGGGCTTCTGCCTTCAGCCCAGGGTATGATCCTGGAGTCCCAGGATCAGGGTCCCGTATCGGGCTTCCTGCATGGAGCCTGCTTCTCCCTCTGCCTATGTCTCTGCCTCTCTCTCCCTGTATCTCTCATAAATAAAATCTTTTTTAAAAAGTAGAAGAAATCGGAGTCTTGTGAATCCACAAGTCTTTTTTTGTCCCCTGACTCCAACCAGCTCTCTGATCAAAGGAATGAGATGCCAAAGAGCACCAGGACTCCTTCCTCCCAAGCCTTAGCAGCACCATCAGTATGTAGATTTAGGCTTAGAAGACTTGTTGAGAATAGGAATGATTTGTTTCCTCCACCTCCTTACAATTTGGGAAATACAACAAGGTAAACCAGGGACCTGACCTGTAGTTCCTGATCCAAGTAGAAAGGATTCCCTCAGTTGTGACCCAGTTCTACACTGGCAAAAATTTTTACATGTAGTTATGCTGTCTCTTCTATAAATATAAAGGTCTACTCCTGAAACCAGTATTACACTATATGTTAACTAACTATAAATTAAATAAAATTTGGAGGCATTTGGGTGGCTCAGTTGATTAAGCATCTGCCTTCGGCTCAGGTCATGATCCCAGGATTCTGGGATCAAGCCCCTTGTCAGGCTCTCTGCTTGGCAGGGAGTCTGCTTCTCCCTCTACCTCCCCCTGCTTGTGCTTTCTCTCTCACTCTCTCTCTCTCAAATAAATAAAATTTAAAATAAATAAATAAAATTTTGAAAAAAAATAATAAAGGTCTAGATACATAAAACAGGCTTTGACTAGTTTCTTTTTTTGGGGGGGGGCTGGATACGTTATACTTTATTGATGGTACATGACATGGTAGGGCTCCCCAAGCCCCTTCCTTTCCTCAGGGGTTCTGGATGTAAATTGGAGGTCAGGAGATTCTCAGTATGTTGGGGGATTAAGTCGGGGCAGGGACTCCCCAGCAGCTGAGGGCCTCTCTCTTCCTCTTGTTCTTGCTGGGGCTGATGGTCCAGGAGGCCTTGGACCATGAGGCCCACCACCCGATTGCTGTAGCTGAATTCATTGTCATACCAGGAAATGAATGAGCTTGACGAAGTGGTCATTGAGGGAAATGTCAGCCCCGGCATTGAAGGTGGAAGAGTGGATGTCACTGTTGAAGTCACATGAGACAACCAGGTCCTCAGTGTAGTCCAGGATGTCCTTGAGGGGACCCTCCGATGCCTGCCTCACCACCTTCTTGATGTCGTCATATGACTAGTTTCTAATTACTGTAGTTCACTGCTGGTCTTCCCTCAAACCCTGCCAGGAAGCTGGTCTGTGGAGAGCCATTTTCCTCTTCTTCATCCATCCTTTATACTTCCTCTGACAAAAAAGGTGAGGAAGAAGGACTGTTATACAGTGTAGGAGACAGCAAAACTGTGAAAATTGACATAGATATCCACTGAGTAGTCCATCTCTCCTAGACTCACGTACTCCTAGACTCATGTAACAATTCTGGGTCAGAAAGAAGGGAGCCACGAGGGCAGCCTGGGTGGCTCAGCAGTTTAGTGCTTCCTTTGGCCCAGGGCATGATCCTGGAGTCCCAGGATCGAGTTCCACATTGGCCTCCCTGCATGGAGACTGCTTCTCCCTCTGCCTGTGTCTCTGCCTCTTTCTCTCTCTGTGTGTCTCTCATGAATAAATAAATAAAATCTTTAAAGAAAAGAAAAGAAGGGAGCCATGAGACCAGGCACACACTGTGAGTCTACTTTATGTCAAGTACCTACTGTGTAATAGGGATTATGCCATCATTTTCACAATCTTTGTCTCTTAATGCCAACACCAGCCTTGTGAGATTGAGGTCATCTCCATTTCTCAGTAGCTAAAACTCAAAGCAGTTAAGTAACTTGCCCAAAGTTACATTGCTTTGTATAGAATTAGCATTCAAACCCAAGTCTTGCTAATTCTAATCCAAAGGTCTTTCTAATATCAACCACCACACCTCCCATTCCTCATTTCCTAGAGACCTATTTATTAATCAGCTTAATTTTCCTAAATAAGGACCCATGATACCCCACTTAAATTAGTTCATAAGTGTGGGCAAAGTCATATGGATTTTATTCAGAGTGGATCCATGTTACACCTCAGGGAAAGTAATTTATTCATTAAAAAACTTTTATATCAATAGATCGGAATTGGGAATCCAGAAACAAACTCATACATGTGTGATCAATTGAGTTTTGCCAAGAGTGCCAAGACAATTCAATGGAAAGAAAGAATAGTTTTTTCAATTTATGATTCAGGGCAACTGGATATTCACATGGAAAAGAATGAAGTTGGAACTCTACCTCATACCACATACAAAATTTAACTTGAAATGGATCAAAGACCTAAAATGAGAGCTGCAGCTATAAAACAGAAGAAAACATAAGAGTAAAGTTTGCTGGCCTTGAATTTGGCAATGGACTCTTAGATAAGACACCAAAAGCACAAACAACAAATGAAAAAATAGCTAAGTTGGACTTCATTAAAATTAAACACTTGTGCTTCAAGAACACTATCATAAAAATGGAAAGACAACCCACAGGAGAAATTTGCAAATCACATGTCTGATAAGAATATAGTATGCAGAATATATAAAGAACTCTTACAATGACAAAAAGTACAATTAAGAGTGAGCAAAGGGGGGTGCTTGGGTGGCTCAGGCACCCAATGTTGGTTAAGTACACAACTGGACTCTAGGTTTCTGCTGAGGTTGTGATCTCTAGGGTCCTCAGGGCAAGTACCATAATCAGTGGGGAGTCTTCTTGGAGATTATCTTCCTCTGCCACTCACCCCTAACTTGCATGGAGGTACATGCGCACTCTCTCTTTCTCTCTCTAAAAATAAATAGGTAAATCTTAAAAAATGAGTGAAGAATTTGAATGGAAATCCCTCCAAATAAGATATACAAATGAAAAAGTGCTCAAAATTTTTAATCATTAGGGAAATGCCAATCAAAACCATAATGAGATACCATTTCACACTCCCTAGGATGACTATAATAAAGGCAGGCAATTACAAGTATTAGTATTAATAAGGGATATGGAGAAATTAGAACCCTAAGGCATTGCTGTTAGGAATGTAAAATGGTGCAGCCCCTTTGTAATACAAGTTGGTAGTTCCTCAAAAAGTTAAATATGGAGTTATTGTAAGACCTAGCAGTCCCACTCCTACATATAGACCCCCAAAATTGAAAATACATGATCACACAAAGATTTGTACATGGATGATCATAGCACAACTATTTATAATACCAAAAAAATGAAAACAACCCAAAAGTCCATCAGTTGATGAATGAATAAACAAAATATGGTATATCTATACAATGGAATATTATTCAACCATAGAAGGAATTTCATTCCTTCTGATACATGCCACAACATGGGCAAACCTTGCAAATATTATGCTAATTGAAAGAAGCCAGAAACACAGGCTGTATATTACATAATTCCATTTCTATTAAATGTCCAGAATATGCAAATATAGAGATAGAGAGACATAAAGTAGATTAGTGATTATCAGGGACTGGGGGAGAGGGGAAATGGGAGTGACTGCTAATGGGTATGAAGCTTCTTTAGGGGATGATGAAAATGTTGTGGAATTAGATAGTGATGGTGGTTGTGCAACCTTGTGAATAATTAAAACCCACCATATTATACACTTTAAATAGGAAAATTTTATAGTATGCAACTATATCTCGAAAAAGTAATGTTTAAGAAAAATCAGCCTTTAAAAAATGGTTTTATTTATTTATTTATTTGAGAGAGAGAGAGAGAGAGCAAGAGACCACAAGCAGGGGGAGTGGCAGAGGGAGAGGGGGAAGCAGGCTCCCTGTTGAGCAGGAAGCCTGATATGGGGTTCCATCCCAGGACCCTGGGATCATAACCTGAGCCAAAGGCAGGCACTTAACCAACTGAGCCACCCAGGTACCCCAAAAATCAGCCTTTTAATTTAAGGAAAAACATGTGAGTTGTATTAAAAGTTGTATAAAAGTTTAAAAATACATAATATTTTTAAAATACTTTTTTTTAAAATACTTTTTATTTTGAAATAATTGCAGATTCACAGCAAGGTGCGAATGTGGTCCATTGGACCCTTTACCCAGCTTCCCATGATGGTGACATCTTACATAATTGAGTACAATATAAAAACAGGAAATTGATACTGTTACAATACTATTAATTAGACTAGAGGCCTTACTCAGTTTTTACCATTTTTATGCATTTGTGTATGTATGTGTAAACTGACAATTTGATGTCATGTACAGATTTGTATGATCCCCATGACCATCATGACATAGAACTGTTTCATCACCATAGAGTAACTATCTAGAACCTCACCTGTATAATCACACACTTCTGCCTTCATCCCTGTGCCCTGGCAATCACTGATCCATCTTCCATCTAAATAGCTTTATCATTTCAAGGATATTATATAAGTGAAATCATACAGCATGTTGTCCTTTGAGATTAGTTTTTTTCCTTAAACATAATACCCTTAAGATCCATCCAAGTCATCCTGTATCAATAGTTCATTCTTTTTTGTTGCAGAATAGGATTCCATGGTCTGGATGCACCAGGTAGTTTAACCATTTACCCATTGAAGGACATCTGTATTGTTTCCAGTTTTTGGCTATTACAAGTAAAGCTGCTATTAACACCCATGTACAAGTTTTTGTATAAATGAAAGTTTTGACTTCTCTGGGACAAATGCCTAGGAGTGCAATTGCCGGGGTATATGGAAATTGCATATTTAGTTTTATAGGAAACTGTCACACTATTTTCTAGAGTGGCTGTACCACTTTACATTCCCATCAGCAATATATGAAGGATTAAGCTTCTCTGCATCTTAGCCAGTATTTCATATTGTCACTTTCTTTTTTTTTTTTTAATTTTTATTTATTTGTGATAGTCACAAAGAGAGAGAGAGGCAGAGACACAGGCAGAGGGAGAAGCAGGCTCCATGCACCGGGAGCCCGACGTGGGATTCGATCCCGGGTCTCCAGGATCGCGCCCTGGGCCAAAAGGCAGGCGCTAAACCGCTGCGCCACCCAGGGATCCCTGTCACTTTCTTTTTTAATTTTAGCCATTCTGATACAGATGTAGTGATATCTCCTTGTAGTTTTAATTTGCATTTTTGATTTAGATCAATCTCTGTCGGCTAAAAATGCCTGGGGGCACTCACCTGGACCCTGACTACTTGTGGCTAGCCCACAGACATTTCCCCACTGGATTCAATGTCGTGGCTGGCCCACTTTTTGTGGTTTTTATTATGATTGCAAGACACACCTCAGCAACAACCATCAGAGAACTTTGAAAAAACGATTTATTACTCAGGTTCCGGAGAATACACAGCACACCAGGTGCCACACAATGAGGTCATAGGTAGAAATAAAAAAAGTATGCAGACTTGGGGTTCTGCCATTACTGGGATCAAGAGTGGGGAGCCTAGGGCTTCACAGGTTCATTCTTAATTGGTGAATTTAATATATCAGAGTGGGAATTAAAACTTGGGAAGGGAAAAGGAAGGTCACGCAGTCAGTTATCCAGGTCACCAGGGCTTTCTAAAAGGGGAACCTTAAGATTGAGTGTCACCCGGCTCTTTATCTCATTGTGTGGCTGGTAATGTATTTATTTGAGATGAATGTCTTTGATATGGATGTTTTGGCAATAAAAAACTTAAAGCCAGGCAT